TATCTAGACCCAGCACTCTTCCCTGCCTATGCAGGGGGTCGGACTCGATGATCTATTGAGGTCCCTTCCGACCCTAGCATCTATGAATCTATCTATGAAGGCAACAGGCCAAAGTGGAAATGTGCCCTTGGTGGATGTGACCACATCAACCCCACCAGGGTTATGGTGTTGGCTACCGCTGGGGCCCTGCCAACCTTTGAGCTCGGGGCAGCTGGTGTGACCCACCTTTGGTGTCCCGCAGTGCCCCCAGCAGGTACTGGGCTTCATCCAGGATCCGCTCCTCGATGCTCCTCTTGCCCACACCAAAGTTGCGCAGGGTGGTGATGGAGAAGCGACGCAGTTGCTTTGCACGCTCCCCATTGGAGAAGGCCACACCTGGAGGGTTGAAGAAGGGGAGTGTGTGCACTGAGCTGTGGGGCTTCTGGGAACCCAAGCTGGCCTTGCAGGTCCCCCTCCCCCTCCCCGGAGAGCTGAGCACCGGTGCTTTCCCAGGGCACCAGACTGGAATACCCCAGATTTGTGGTGGGAGTTGCAGCAGCACAAATGAAGCAAAGGAGTTTGCTGCTGCCCTGAGTGGCCCAGCCGGTTCCTGTGATGCACTGACTGGGAACCTCCCCTCCACGACACCAGGCTGAGCTCCCATCTGGGGCAGATCAGCACTGAGGCAATGGAGCTGTGCTGATTTGGCTCTGCTGGGGTCCCAGAAGCTGCTCCCACCCCCCTCTTGTGGACACCACTGACCGTAGCCCTGGAAGAGCCAGTCAAAAGTGGCCTGCTTCCCACGGCCACCAAACTCATCACCCTGGTCCACCAGGGCTTCCTTCATGGCCCGGTAGCCACACAGCACCACAACACGGCGCGTGCCCAGCTGGACGGTGTAGACGGGGCCGTACTTCTCACTGAGCTGTGGGACATGGAGACACTGAGGAGCTCACCTCCCCACACAGCCCCAGCATCCCCACAACCCAGCCCAGCTGCCTCCTACCCACACCCCCACCTCCCATACTCCCCATCCCCGCACACTCCGCAGCCCTTCTCTCTCAATGCCTCTTACCTGCAAGCATCTTCCCACTTCACATCATCCACAAACTCTGCCCCACAGCTCCTGATTGACCTCCCCTCCCTTCCCCCAGTAACACCTCAAAGCACCGTGGGGGTGGGCCCTGATGGGAATTGGGGAACCCATGCCCAGCAAGACCCCTGCACCTTCATGAGTGACTTGAGCATGTTGCTGGTGTCAACTTGCAGCAGGTTTCCAATGAGTGGGAGGGGTGTGGGCCCCGGTGGCATCTTGCTACGCCCCTGCATCTGCTTCCATGTCGAGAGGAGAATGAGGCAGGTCAGGAAGATGGTGAGGAAGAGGGCAACAGCACCGAGGAAATCCATGGTCAGTGGCAGTCTTGGTCCTGGAATGGTGTTCGACTGGGTCGAGAGCTGACTTTTATCCCCACTTCCTGCAGTGCCAGCACAAAAATCTTGGTTGCGTAACTTGTTTGTGTAAGTGGGATTTGGTTTCCTGTACTAACTAGGTGGTAACAGAGTCCAGGTGAAATCTCAGGGTTCCCTGCAGTAGCATGCTGAAAGCTGTGCCCTTTACAAGCATGCAGTGTTTCTGCACCTGGTTCACAGATGCTGCTGGGCTGTGGGGAAATGGCTTCCAGCCCATCAGCTCCAGGCTGCACACCTTTGTAAATGCCTCTCCTGGAAGAGCCACTAAACCAGTTTCTGAGCACACATGGAGGGAGACCTCAGTCTTGCCCCAGGGTCCCTCAGACTGGGAGCAGTCCATGGAGGGGCGTAGGGCAGCTCCAAGACAAAGCCCTGCTGCTGTTGCCCTGCATAAGGACACAGAGGTTTCATGGATACAAACCAAGATAGGCAGGAGTGGGAGAGTTCTCCACTCTCTGCCCCCTTCTTTTCACCTAGCTCCTTTGCTGACCCGGGAGAGATTCCTGCCACTAGCAGCAGGAGAAATAGGCCCCCGGGTTGGGCACTGTTATGGACATGTTCTGGACATTGTTATGGACTACCCAGACATCTGCTGGGAGATGCAGACAGCAAAGTCCCACCATTCACGCAGGTTCCTATCCTGTGCACAGGACCTCCACCTGACACAGGAGGTACACGGTCCCACTCGGGGGAATGCCTTACTGGATCTGGTATTGGCAACGGGGGATGACATGGTAGGGGACCTACAGATCGGTGGTCACCTGGGGGACAGTGATCACCTAATAATAGAATTCTTCATAAAACGTCGAGTGGGTAAGGTAACTCGTAGGGTGAAAGTGCTAGACTTTAGGAAATGTGACTTCAATGAACTCAGGCGATTAGTCAAGGACGCACTGCAGAGTAGGAGTTTTGAAGTGATGGGAGCCCAGGAAGGGTGGCTGTGCCTGAAGGAAACGATCCTTCGGGCACAAAGCAAGACGATCCCGATGCCCACCTTTGGTGTCCCGCAGTGCCCCCAGCAGGTACTGGGCTTCATCCAGGATCCGCTCCTCGATGCTCCTCTTGCCCACACCAAAGTTGCGCAGGGTGGTGATGGAGAAGCGACGCAGTTGCTTTGCACGCTCCCCATTGGAGAAGGCCACACCTGGAGGGTTGAAGAAGGGGAGTGTGTGCACTGAGCTGTGGGGCTTCTGGGAACCCAAGCTGGCCTTGCAGGTCCCCCTCCCCCTCCCCGGAGAGCTGAGCACCGGTGCTTTCCCAGGGCACCAGACTGGAATACCCCAGATTTGTGGTGGGAGTTGCAGCAGCACAAATGAAGCAAAGGAGTTTGCTGCTGCCCTGAGTGGCCCAGCCGGTTCCTGTGATGCACTGACTGGGAACCTCCCCTCCACGACACCAGGCTGAGCTCCCATCTGGGGCAGATCAGCACTGAGGCAATGGAGCTGTGCTGATTTGGCTCTGCTGGGGTCCCAGAAGCTGCTCCCACCCCCCTCTTGTGGACACCACTGACCGTAGCCCTGGAAGAGCCAGTCAAAAGTGGCCTGCTTCCCACGGCCACCAAACTCATCACCCTGGTCCACCAGGGCTTCCTTCATGGCCCGGTAGCCACACAGCACCACAACACGGCGCGTGCCCAGCTGGACGGTGTAGACGGGGCCGTACTTCTCACTGAGCTGTGGGACATGGAGACACTGAGGAGCTCACCTCCCCACACAGCCCCAGCATCCCCACAACCCAGCCCAGCTGCCTCCTACCCACACCCCCACCTCCCATACTCCCCATCCCCGCACACTCCGCAGCCCTTCTCTCTCAATGCCTCTTACCTGCAAGCATCTTCCCACTTCACATCATCCACAAACTCTGCCCCACAGCTCCTGATTGACCTCCCCTCCCTTCCCCCAGTAACACCTCAAAGCACCGTGGGGGTGGGCCCTGATGGGAATTGGGGAACCCATGCCCAGCAAGACCCCTGCACCTTCATGAGTGACTTGAGCATGTTGCTGGTGTCAACTTGCAGCAGGTTTCCAATGAGTGGGAGGGGTGTGGGCCCCGGTGGCATCTTGCTACGCCCCTGCATCTGCTTCCATGTCGAGAGGAGAATGAGGCAGGTCAGGAAGATGGTGAGGAAGAGGGCAACAGCACCGAGGAAATCCATGGTCAGTGGCAGTCTTGGTCCTGGAATGGTGTTCGACTGGGTCGAGAGCTGACTTTTATCCCCACTTCCTGCAGTGCCAGCACAAAAATCTTGGTTGCGTAACTTGTTTGTGTAAGTGGGATTTGGTTTCCTGTACTAACTAGGTGGTAACAGAGTCCAGGTGAAATCTCAGGGTTCCCTGCAGTAGCATGCTGAAAGCTGTGCCCTTTACAAGCATGCAGTGTTTCTGCACCTGGTTCACAGATGCTGCTGGGCTGTGGGGAAATGGCTTCCAGCCCATCAGCTCCAGGCTGCACACCTTTGTAAATGCCTCTCCTGGAAGAGCCACTAAACCAGTTTCTGAGCACACATGGAGGGAGACCTCAGTCTTGCCCCAGGGTCCCTCAGACTGGGAGCAGTCCATGGAGGGGCGTAGGGCAGCTCCAAGACAAAGCCCTGCTGCTGTTGCCCTGCATAAGGACACAGAGGTTTCATGGATACAAACCAAGATAGGCAGGAGTGGGAGAGTTCTCCACTCTCTGCCCCCTTCTTTTCACCTAGCTCCTTTGCTGACCCGGGAGAGATTCCTGCCACTAGCAGCAGGAGAAATAGGCCCCAGGGTTGGGCACTGTTGGCAGTACATGTGACTTGTACTGCCAGCCCTTCCTTAGCCTGGCACCTCCACCAGGCACTCACTGACAGGTGCCCGACCTGCTGTTTTTTCTGCCCAAGTTCACATGAAATGCCGGGAATTAACTAGAGCACAAAGCCCTGCCATTGTGCAGGTCAACACCTGGCCTGATTTGGTCCCTGTTGCACTGGGCGCTGCAACCAAAAGGTGGGATTTCAACACAACGCTTTCACCAGCTCCAAGAAACCCACAAGTTGGAGCCCTGAAGCTCATCCCGTTCCATAGCTCCATTTCATCATCGGAGTTTCCTCTGTTCCCACCTGCCACAATTCATGCACAAAAGCAAATGGCAATGTCACGGTGCAGGGAAAGAAGCTGAAGCCTGAGCCATGCCAAGTGGGATAAGAGGGAGTATTGAGGGGATGAGTTGTCATGACAGAATGTCCCAACTTCCCACACCGAGGGAGATGATGGCTTCTCCATGTGCTCCCCCCACTCTCTCCCCTTCCCCCATCACCAATCTCTTAACTGCTCCAAGGCTCCCCTAGCATGGGATGAAGCAGATCTTGTAGCTGAGGGGCAGGGTGGCAAAGGCCACCAGTTCCAGGGAGATGTTGAGGTCCTGGCGGTCAACAAGAGACTTGAAGTCGAAGTTCTGCCAGATACTGGTGATGAATAGGAAGAGCTACATGCGAGCAAGCACATCGAAGAGGCAGTACCACTTCCCTGGGGGAAGAGGATAGAGAACTCAGGACTTGGAGCCAGGCTCCAGGGCCCTAAAATCAGGGAGGGGGAATCTCAGGCCTGCATCAACCATCTGAGTATGGGCTGGTGTAGCTGGGCGGCAGGGCTTGGTCAGGGGCACAACCAGGGCTGCTGAGGGCAGTGTGGACAGGTGGGTTGAAGCCCAGAAGAGGGGAAGGTGCAGCGTGTTTGCACAAGATGAAAACAACCGGATCACAGAGACTGGGACATTGGAAGCTTTAAGTGTATGAGTAGCTGCTGGCAGCACTGGTGGAAAGAGAGGAAGTCACGGCTCTCTCTGGGTCTGTACCAAGTGCGGCCATCGAGCTCGTACCAATGGAGAAGGGCAGACAGGCCTCATTCTTCTTGAATTGCCCCTTCTCATCCAGGAAGTGCCTGGGGTCGAAAACTTTGGGCCTCTCAAAGTGCTCAGGATCCTTTAGCACGGACCGCAGCAGTGCAAATGCCTCAGTGGCCTGGGGGAGACAGCACCATGAGATGGGCCTCACAGGCTGGGGGATCAGTGGTTGGTTGCAGCCCCACGCAATGGCATTTGACCGGGTTGAGAGCTGCCTTATAGCTCCACCTCCCTAGGTGCCAGCACAAGGACCTTGGTTACATCATTTGTTTGTGCAAATGGGATCTGGTTTCATCCACCAAGCATGCGGTGAGAGAGCCCAGGCATGAGCCCACAGCTACCCGCACACAGCAGCAGCATGCCCAAAGCCATGCCTTGGAAATCTGTGTGCCGGGCTGCGCGGCGGGCTGGAAGCTGATCTGGTCCAACCACTCCAGGCTGCAGAGGTTTGTAAACACCTGTCACACTCAGAGCGGGACGTTGGCCTGCCAAGTACCTGGAGGAGCCATGGATCTGGGTTGTGGGCACACACCATGGGGGTCATCAGCCCTGCTCCCGGGTCTCACTGGCGCCACCTTTGTGAAGCCGCTGAGGTTTCATGCGTACAAACCAAGATGGGCCGGAGTGGAGGAGTCCTCTGCTCTCTGGCCCCTTCATTTTACCCTGCCCCCAGGTTCCTACTACTCACAGCAGGGCAACTGGGCCCTGGGGCTGGGCACTGTTACCGATATAAGACATAATGCCAGCCCTTGCTCAGCCTGGCACCTCCACCGGGCACCTACTCCCAGGTGCCCTGCCCTCTGGATTTCCTGCTTGAGTTCATATGAACTGCAAGTATTAACCAGCGCACAAAGCCTTACCATTGTGCTAGCCAACACCCAGCCTGAAAGCTGAGGCAGAGGCATGGCCTCGGGCCCCAGGGCTGGGAGAGAGAGGACAAAACTGACAAGGGGAGCCTCCATCCACAAGCCAGCTTTGGGCACCTAAGCCCTGCTTTTCTGGTTGGGTATAGGTGTTGTCTGTGGGCTGATGCACACAGAAGTACACACGTTTGCACATGCACGTGCACACATACACGTGTCGGAATCAACCCCTCAGACCTGACACACATCATACCCCAGCAGTGCCTGCCCAGCCTCTCTCCTACAACAGCTGCTAGCTGTACATCATGGCCTCGTGTGCCCCACTGTTGCTGACCAGTGCACGGGGGCTCTGTACTGAGCCTAGCATTTCTGCCCCATAGCAATGAGCACGCCTGAGCCCTCCCCTTCAGTGGAGAGGTCCCTTCACCAAGAGCAAGTCGATGCAAGAGAGCGGTCCTCACCCTCCAGTGAAGGGACCTCTCCACTACAGAGGTCTCAGCCCAGACAAGAAGCTCTACCTGAGCCCCTGGCTTCTGGCTAGCATGAGGCTGAATCCTCCCCTCCACTATGCTGGCGGAGACCTGGAGCGCTAGCCACACAACACAGATGAGGGGAGCCAAGAGGGCTGTAATGAGGGAGTACAGATCTACCCAGCCATCCTGACAAGTCCTTGGCTCTGTCTGTCCCCATGCACCTCCCAGCACCTTCGTCTGGCCATAACCCCATGTGCACTCACCCTATGCGCACCCTGCCACCTCAGCCCTCTTCCCAAAGCAGCATGGCCCTAGATGGAGTCTTGAAGCAGCGGCTTCCCCCAGGAGCTCCAGTCCTGGCCATCACGTCAACCTTGCCTGCTTGAGATGCACTTCTTCCTCCCCAAGGACTGTTTCTTCGGATCAAACATAAACAAGGAAGGCAGCAGATGTGGGAAGCAAAGGGGCAGGAAGCTTTAATTGGAGAGATACCCACCTGGGGCAGCCCCATGCATAAGCCAAGGCCACGGATTTCAATGACGGACCACATTCAATGACAGGTCATGGCAAGGCACAAAACCAAAGGGGTTTCCCCTTCCACCAGCTCCCAAATTCAGCAAGTGCTGAGCCCTGAAGATTGTCCCGCTACACCTTTCCCTCCTACCACATTTCTTGCAGAAAAGTGAACAGCAATAGCAAGGCACAGGGACAGAAGCTGAAGCCATGGAGCTGTGTTGGTGCCTGATCCGTGCCAAGTGGGACGAGAGGGAGAATTTAGGGGATGAGATTTCATGACAGAATGTCCCAGGGTCCCACACTCGGCCTGATGAAGGCTCCTCTATTTGCACCCGCTCTTCCCCTCTACCCCCTCCCCAAAGACCAAACTGCTTTGAGGCCCCCCCTAGCGTGGGATGAGGCAGATCTTGTAGTCGCGGGGCAGGGTGGCAAAGCCCACCAGCTTCGGGGAGATGTCGAGGTCCTGGCGGTCGATGGGAGACTCGAAGCGGAAGTGTTGCAGGATGCTGGTGACGAAGAGGAAGAGCTCCATGCGAGCCAGCATATCACCGAAACAGAACCGCTTCCCTGTGGGCAGAGGATGGAGAGCTCAGGGGCCGTGGAAGAATTAAGTACATGGGTAGCTGCTGCAGTGCTGGTGGAAGGAGGGGAAGTCATGGCTGTCTCTGGCTCTGTGCCAAGTGCAGGACTCGTACCAATGGAGAAGGGCAGGAAAGCCTCGTTCTTCTTGAATTGCCCCATCTCATCCAGGAAGTGCCCGGGGTCGAAGGCTTCAGGTCTCTCAAAGTGCTCGGGGTCCTTCAGCGCCGAGCCCAGCAGTGCAAACACCTCGGTGCCCTGGGGGAGACAGCGCCATGAGACAGGCCTCATAGGCACAGGAACCTCCCCTTGTTTCTGCCCAGATCCCTCCAGTGAAGGGACCTCTCCACTACAGAGGTCTCAGCCCAGACAAGAAGCTCTACCTGAGCCCCTGGCTTCTGGCTAGCATGAGGCTGAATCCTTCCCTCCACTATGCTGGCGGAGACCTGGAGCGCTAGCCACACAACGCAGATGAGGGGAGCCAAGAGGGCTGTAATGAGGGAGTACAGATCTACCCAGCCATCCTGACAAGTCCTTGGCTCTGTCTGTCCCCATGCACCTCCCAGCACCTTCGTCTGGCCATAACCCCATGTGCACTCACCCTATGCGCACCCTGCCACCTCAGCCCTCTTCCCAAAGCAGCATGGCCCTAGATGGAGTCTTTATCCTCCCCTTTCATTCTAGTTCCTCTGACTCAACAGAGTCACTTCGTTGCCTCTCCAAAATCCCCTGAGCTTCTGGCAAGAGCAGACTCTGGGCACCATGAGGACATGGCCAAGCACGGCAGGTCTTGTTTCAAAGTGCTAGAAAGGCTCCTCCTCCTCTGATCCAGGCTTTTTTTGTTCTCACGTTTCCCTGGTGTAAGGTTTCCCCATGCGCTCCTGCCAGCATGTCCCAATGGGGCTCAGCAAAATGCCCCCTGGGAAGCTCACCCAACTGGTGGGTATTGGTTGCCTGCTCTCACCAGGTTGTGTGACCAGAGGCAGCTCCATGCTCGGTGCTTGAGCCTGCAACTCAAACCCTCCAGGTGAACTCCAGCCAGCACAGTCACAGAGACAGCCCGAGTGCGCTGCAACTACCTCTTCAGGGTCTGACTGAGATAGATTCATAGTTTCATAGTAGGTTGGGTTGGAAGGGACCTGAGCAGATCAACAAGTCCGACCCCCTGCCCTGGGCAGGAAAGGATGCTGGGGTTAAATGACACCAGCAAGGTGTCTATCCAGTCTCCTTTTGAAGCCCCCCGGGGTAGGAGCCAGCACCACTTCCCTTGGAAGTTGGTTCCAGCTCCTAGCCTCCCCGAC